TCGAGAGGAGGGGAGGTTCTCCATCAGCACACCTGGATTGTGAGTTTTAATTGGATTTATGTCCCTATTTAAGCTGTGTTGTTTTTCATTTATGCTTTGTATGCTGTCCTGATGAAAGCTCCCAAGAGGAGCTGAAACGTTGACCTGTGGAGTAAAGTATTTTTTTTGGCTTATTTACAAATCCTGGGAGTGCTGATTTTTCTTTTGCTTGGTATATATATATATTGCTTTTTCTAATATAAAATATTGGTCCTTTCAGGGTAAAACGTTTAATTATACAGTAAGCATACGCACATGCAGACACAGGCAATTTCACTGACATTTCAGTGGCACACACAAGCTCATTGATACACAGCCTCATAGACAAACAATCTTACTGATATACATCAGCTCATTGACATAAAAACACAAGCTCACTCACTAGCAGACGCACACACAGCTTAATGTGGTGGTACTGGTGTCTATAGCATGTCCCTACAGGCTTTTCAACGTAAACACTGACTTTTCAGACAAAAGTGTTTACATTGCTTCAAAGTGACACTGCTAGTGACAATCACTCAGACGGTCACTAGAGGTGCTTCCTGTGTTAGTGCCCTCCCGCCCTCGCGCGCTGCTGAATGAGACCGGCGCCGGAATATGACATCATATTCCGGCGCCGGTCTCATTCAGCTGCGTGCTGGGGAGCAGAGCCAGCGCAGCTCCCTCAGCGGCCGCCAGGACAAGTCCGCCAGCGGCCGCCAAAAGACCTCCCCAGCGGCCAGGGGAGGGCTGGCAGCCTTAGGCCTGGGGGCAAAACCAGTCAAGTAGACTGGTGCACCTGCCCAGGATCAGAGCCGGTGCAAGGATTTTTGCCGCCCTAGACAAAATAAAAATTTGCTGCCCCCACATGTCACATCACAATGCCCCACCCATATGATCTGCCATATGAACTAACGCCAGTGCTGCACACAGTGTGTGTTTACATTAAAAAGCCTGCAGGGACCAGCTATAGACACCAGAACCACTTCATTAAGCTATAGTGTCCCTTTAATGTGAGGTAAATTATAGATTAGTGTCACTAATAATATACTAGATTGCCTACTTACAAGCAGATGAGGATGATGATGGGCTGCAGTTTGGCTCCACTGGTCTGGTGTAGAACAGGATCTCTGGAGGCTGTTTGCAACTGTGGTCACAAAATTCAATGTTCTGGGAGAATTGGAAGCAGCTCAATTTTTTGGGGGCCCCTTACACAGCTCAAGGTCTGGGCCCCAGGGCCTGACGGTGAGTATGCCCATAAGGCCCACTCATAAGTTCCACCCACCCATGAGTTCGCTCACAGGGAGTGGAGTGTGTAGGGGATGTGTTATGTGTTATTGTAGAGGATCTAATATGTGTGCTTATGGTATGTAGTGTTTGGGGTTACCAGTTTGTGCAGGTGATGCAGTGTGTTTGTGTGTAGTGGAAGCAGTGTGTATTTGTGTATAAGGGATGTATTATGTGTTTCTGGTTGTGTGTAAGGGATGCATTGTGTGAATCTGTGTTTGTATGCATAAGGGATGCAAGGTGTGTGTCTGTATGTGTGTGCATGAGATGCATTGTGTTTCTGTGTGTATGTAAGAAAAGAAGTGTGTGTGTTTGCATGCGTGTGTACGGGTTTGCATTGTCTGTTTCTGTGTATGTGTGCAAAGGATGCATTGTCTTTGTGTGTAAGGGTTGCATTGTGTGTGTGTGTGTGTAATGGATGCATTGTGTGTTTCTCTGTGTGTAAGGGAAGCATGTTGTGTTTCTGTGTATGTATAGGGATGCATTGTGTGTGTGTGTGTGTGCGCGTAGTGTGAAAAAGCTCCCTGTCTTGGCCCCTGTCCTATAGGCTGCCTTCTTCCCCCTCCCCCTCTTCTTATTCCCTCCTCCCTCTTCTTATTTCCCTCCCTCCCTCTTCTTATTCCCCCATCACTTATTCCCCTCCCTCTTCTTATTCCCCTCCCTCCCTCTTCTTATTCCCCTCCCCTCCCCTCATCATATTTCACCTCCCTCTTTTTATTCCCTCCCTCCTCTTCTTATCCCACCCTCCCCCTCTTCTTGTTCCCCGCCCTCCACTCTTCTTATTCCCCCTCATCTTGTTCCCCCTCCCCTCTTCTTATCCCTCCCTCCCTCTTTTTTGTCCCTCCCTCCCCTCTTTTTATTCCCCCACTCCCCTCATCTTATTCCCCCCCTCCCTCTTTTTGTTCCCCCTCCCCTCATCCCTCCCTCCCCCTCTTTTTATTCCCCCTCCCTCTTCTTATCCCTCCCTCCCTCTTTTTTATTCCCCCCTCCCCCTCATCTTATTCCCCCCTCCCCTCTTTTTATTCCCCCCTCCCTCATCCCTCCCCTCCCCTCTTCTTGTTCCCCCCTCCCCTCTTCTTATTCCCCCTCCCCTCTTTTTTAGTCCCCCCTCTCTTCTTGTCCTCCCTCCCCTCTTTTTATTCCCCCCCTCTTCTTATTTCCCCCCTCCCTCTTTTTTATTCCCCTCCCTCCCTCTTCTTATTTCCCCCCCCTTTTTGTTCCCCCCCCTCCCCTATTCTTACCCCCTCCCCTGTAGCGTGGCCGAGCTGCACTCCGGTCCGCGGTGGCCGGCCGGAGTGATAGGAAGGTGCACACTGAGTGTGCACTTCCTGTCAGTCCGGCCGGTTACAGGAAACAGAAACTCCTGTTCCGCGCGGGGTTTCTGTTTCCTGTGACCGGCCGGACTGACAGGAAGTGCACACTCAGTGTGCACCTTCCTATCACTCTGGCCGGCCGGCCGGCCACCGCGGACCGGAGTGCAGCTCGGCCACGCTACAGGGGAGAAGCTGCAGCCGCCTGAGGCTCTTAACAGAGCGCTCGGGCGGCTGCAGTATTTAAAGGGCCGGCCCCAGGTGCCGACGGCCCACCGGGAAATTTCCCGGTATCCTGGTGGGCCAGTCCGGCCCTGCTCTCAGGATCTGTTCTTCTTTTCTTCCTGTCTTCTTTAGTTTTCTTTAAAATCATAAGACAAAGTAGGGACTCTTAAAAAAAAATATTCCATCAAATACACCACACCTTCTGCAGCACAACAACACGGGAGAGTAACTATAAATGAATAACACATTGGCACTACACACCAGCAAAGCTTAGGTCTCAGTTCGCACATACACCCACAGAGTGCTGGAGATGTAACCCAATGGCACCTCGGCTCATATCTGGTGGTTATGCCCAGAGATCCAAAAGTACTGGTCTACGATATCCAATACCATCCAAGCTATAGTGGAGATCAAGATCCCTCTCACACCAGACATCTATATATTTCTACTACCGCCACCAGAAGCAAAACAGAACATTACCAGAGTACTCTTCCATCTTGTCACAGCTGCAAACCAGCTGATACCGGTGAAAGGGTTAAAAATTAAGTATGTGACTACTGTAAATGGACAAGACTATATTATTAGAAATAACAATTGTTAAATGTCAGCTTAAAAGTAAAACCTGTTACAGACCATCAAAGAAATAACCTTTTGACCTCGCTACCAGAAATACATGTTGTTGGTTGCTGAATAAGCAATATCGTGTTTAGCTGATGTAATCTTGTCATGTTACTTTTGCTGTAACTTCTGTCTATAAATATGTTTGCCTGAGCCTTAATACATTGGTAGTAGCCCAATTTACGTTGTCTGTGTATCACTGAAAGGCTCTCCCCGGACGTTCGGTCCAAAAGTGAGGTGCATGGAACGCTTTGCCCAGCAGTTTATTATGACCCCAACAACCGGCATTATGGAAACAGCCTGTATGTACGTAGTGGTCATTGGATGGGATGACCTTTTAACAAACCATAGCTTCCCCCCAAATAAAGACAGACACCGAAGCTTGGAAGTAACAGGCCACAGCATTTATTAAAACACAAATACTGCACGACTCCTTCAATGTATAACTTTACATAATATTCTCATAAATAAATAAATAACATGTAAATACCTGCATAATGTCATACAGTACTTGTCCAACAAGTCCTTGCCAATCTCATTCCGTCTTCCCAAAGGCTCTCACCTTCCCCCTCAGCATAATAAACTCCTCTTGCCTTTTTGGCACCCCACCAACAGGCTTTTAGCTCGGTGGGGCCCGACCATAATGATCCCCACCAGCTGGCTTTAGCTCGGTGGGGACACGTCCAACTTGGTACCCCTTAAGGTTCACCAAAGAGACAGGGGAGGATGAGACCCGGCCATTACCCCCCACCTTCATCTAACCTGAAATAAAACACCACCCCTTATTTGGCAGGGACACACCCCCCGCCACCACCCCCCTGCTGATTTAAGCCTAAAATCGGCTGGGGGCCCCAAACAAACCAAACCATGGCCTGTTTCACCACCTCTTGAATGGCCAGATTAAAATGGTCGAGCCCGACCTCCGTCAGATGAACCCCATCTGGCCGAAACAAATCTGCCGCCTCCCTCTCAAAAAACGACGAATGGGTATTTCCCCCAACCCCTACCATGAACTATAAAACCCGACGGTTAGAGGACCACTCTAGGCACCCAGACCACTTCAGCTTAATGAAGTGGTCTGGGTGCCAGGTCCAGCTAGGGTTAACCCAGAGAAGTTGAGCCTGCGCTCCAGAACAGGAGGCTGCCGAGACAGGTAAGGAAAGGGGGAGGATAGACACAGGGACGGGAGGGGGGGACCGGGACCCAGCCAGGCCGGAAGCAAGGACATACACCCCAGGGGGAGAAAAAGAGAAAACAGGCCTGCAAGGAGGGGGGGACAATCAAGAAAGAAGGGGGGGCAATAATGAAGAACCCCAGGAAGGGGGAGGGACCCACACCGCCCACGGATCCTGCCCGGCCTAAAGAAGAGGGGAAGGGTTGGGACAACTAGACCCCCAGGAGCCCATGAGGGGGTTCCAGAATCCCCTCTCCACCCGGCGGCAGTGGCCGAGAGCCACTCCGCGCGCCCCGCAAGGGCCCACTTACCACTGCCGGGTGAGAGGGGAGGACCCTGGACGGCAGCCCAAGCACCGCCCAGGCTGATTAACATCCAGGGGGGGCACAGTCCACACCAGATGCCGCCGCCCCTGTTGTCCCCTGTTGTTGGACAACAGGGGCGGCGGAAGAATCGGGAGACGGAGCGGGCCGTTGAAGCCTTGGGCCAGGGCTGCGGCTCCTGTACCGGGCCCGAGGAGGAGTGCTGGGGCTCAGCAGAGCCAGAGGGCAGGAGCCCATGGAGGGTGCCAGGGATGGAGACACAGGGGGAGCCAGAAGCTGGGGGGGGGGGAACCACACTGCCAGGCTGCTGGGGGAGGAGGAGGACCACATCGCCAGGCTGCCGGGGAAGGAGGAGGACCACACCGCCAGGCTGCTGGGGAAGGAGGAGGACCACACCGCCAGGCTGCTGGGGAAGGAGGAGGACCACATCGCCAGGCTGCCGGGGAAGGAGGAGGACCACACCGCCAGGCTGCTGGGGAAGGAGGAGGACCACACCGCCAGGCTGCTGGGGAAGGAGGAGGACCACATCGCCAGGCTGCCGGGGAAGGAGGAGGACCACACCGCCAGGCTGCTGGGGAAGGAGGAGGACCACACCGCCAGGCTGCTGGGGAAGGAGGAGGACCACATCGCCAGGCTGCCGGGGAAGGAGGAGGACCACACCGCCAGGCTGCTGGGGAAGGAGGAGGACCACACCGCCAGGCTGCTGGGGAAGGAGGAGGACCACACCGCCAGGCTGCTGGGGAAGGAGGAGGACCACACGGCCAGGCTGCTGGTGAAGGAGGAGGCCATTGTCTGCAGCAGCACCAGCCCTGAGGCACACATGATGGCTGAAACATCCAGATCCAGCATCCAGGACCCACAGGCCGAAAATCCATCAGGCCCAGCAACAGGAGGAGCAGAGAAACTTGTTGCTGGCCCGGCTCCTAAGTGGCACTGAGGTCAGTCCCAATTGCCACCACCCACTTCCTCTCATACCACACTCCCCCAACATAAACACAGCCCATCCTGTTTCATCCATTCCCACACTCATACATGTGCCCTTGTCTGCTAAGCTGCGCACGATCCCTGGGGCCTAAACGCACCGTCTGTACATGACTGGAAACAGAGAATAGAAACAATTAGGGACTTGGAGGAAATTTGCTCCTCATTAATGAACACCTTCCACTACTATACAAGTGCCTGGGACCCATGGTGCAGATACCTCAGTAACCCCTCATTTTAGTAACCCCTTAAGAGATACTCAAAGACAGGCACCATCTAAAAGACACAGGGGCAAGATGGAATGGAACAGACAAGATAACTCGCTTCATATGGTACGAAACAAGTGGGGAAACACACCAGCGATAAAGATATACACATTTTATTGTATTGTATTGTCTTATACTGCAATGTAATGTAGGGTATTGTACTGGTGATGGAAACCTGCGATAGTATCGACCACATCGGCCCAAATGACTCCGCATCTGTATCTCACACTATCACCCACCAACCCCACCCTCCCTCTCCCATGAATAACTAAGACACCTGATGCCTAGAAATAACTAGGAACAAGCAGTGTGCGCTGTGTGGGGTGAATCCTCCCAAACGCTGCTGACAGCCCCAACAGAAACAACCAACCATTATTACCATCACCACAAGACTGAAACTCCACCATCTAGAACACAAATGTGGAAATATAAATAAATAAAAATAGTAAATGCACAACTTACAAAATGTACATGTATTACAAGGCAATTGTATTAAAGGTTGTCTAATTTCAAGCTCGATTCTCGTTATAATGTGCATAGGCATGTAGTGATTAGATACTGCAGAAGCTGCACCTATATGAAAGTGTGTCCCGAGAAAGAAGAATGGTTAAACCCTAACCTATCTAACAGAATCCTAACGTAGAGGATAAGTTTAGGTATGGCAAGAGGGTCAACGTGCAAAAATAGCAATGGAAAATAAAGGTATTTGCCTAAAATGGACTAGATAAGATCATATATAATGATTTTTATTGAACACCACTTAGAACTGGATGGATAAAATGGGACCAGTTCGAGTAGTT